TTTAGTAATGCTTTTGCTGCTTCTTGGTTCTCAAAATCTATCTTAATTAATAAATTTCCTTCTGTTGATCCTCAATATTTATATCCATTGGTTCACAGGTTAGAACCACTTTTGTTGGGCACTTTTCTCGTTTTTTTCTCTGAATATGGTCCTGGGGATGTATCACTTAACCCTTGTGGCAGATTCTGGGACTGCACAGCTAATGATTTTAATGTTCTACGTTTTACTTTAACTAAAACGAGAAAAATGGAATAAAATGGATTTGAATTTGGATTTCTGTAAAAAAACACTTTCGAGAAAATGTAATGAGCACACTTTCATCGTATTTGATACAGTTTTTCCGATTTTTAATGTTCATATCCACAACAATCTTCTATCAATTAGTTCCAAGTGAATCCAGGCTTACAGTTTTCACAAAAACCTTCGATTTTCCTGCTTTCGAGAAAAGATAAAAACTTAAATTAGGATTTCGCTTCATCCAGGATGAACACTGGGGAACGCAGCAATACTGGTTCATTTTAAAAATCTCCAACAAACACAAAAACTTAAAAAACACAACTGAACTAGTTTGTTTTGTCATAAACAACAACAATGACAATAGCTCTTAGCTCGGTTCTTACTTACATTATCCACCAGAGGGCGTATCGCTTAACAAGAATCGTCTATTGTTGCTGATAATTGCCTAAAATTGTCGCGTAAAAGTGAATCGTTGCGGTGCAATCTTGCACTTGATCTAGCCATTTTTCACGTCGCTCGGCCCGAAAGTGCACCAACATAATGCGGGCATTGAAAAAAAAATATAATAAATTGCTTATAAATTACTTCTGGTAAATTACATTTCACACTTATATTCCAATGGCAATGGTGTTTAATGGTCGACCTGCGGCAGTTTGGCCACCATTAACAAGTTCCGAGTTATGATTGGGTGACAAGCGGCTGATTGATGACGGCCACTGCGTAATTACATTCGCTCTATTAGCTATTCATATCCTAACGCAAGGTATGTACAGGCATAGTCCTGGGACGTGGCGATTCCCAATCTATAGTTACATTATACCTAATTGGAGATTCGCTCTCATCTCATATATCCTCATAGAGATAATTGAAATTCTTGATGTTACCTTTTCGTATGGTGGTTTCGTGAAGAAGAGGTTTCCATGAATGCCAATTTCCTATAATACTTCTTCTGCTTTCGTAGCTTCTTTATGATTTCTGTAATTGCCTTAAATGACAATGTTAGAAATGAATGAAAACCTTGAAATTCTGATGTTTTTATTTACTGGGTGGCCCAGAACTCACGCCCCACCGGGAAATACCTTATGGAAACGACAATGGAGATGCCAAAACTGCAGTCGAAGGCAGAAAAAAGTTATTCCTTTGGTAAAGAAAAAGGTTTAAAATTGACCAATCCCAGTAGCAGTTCAGTAGAATTAGCTATTCACCAATTTGACATTATTGAAAGATTCAATGTCTTTTTCACTTATAAGGTTAACAGAAACTGCAAAAATCAGCTGTGACTGTTGATCAAAGATTTTCTTCCAAATCGATCATTCAGAAGCTTCGTGCTCATATTAAACCTACAGAATGTTTTATTGCTTCAAAAGTGTTTCGAATCGAATGATCAATTTTTTGATCGATTTTAAAGCAAATCTTTGATTAATAGTTACATCTGATTTTGGCAGATTTTGTTAAGTGAAAAGTGAAAAGGAAATAGAATCTTTCAATAATGTCAAATTGGTGTATACATAGCTAATTCACATCATTTTCGTGGATTTGAATTCCTACTGGGATTGGTCGATTTTGAACGTCTTTATTTACCAAAAAAAAACTTTTTCATGTTTTCGACTGCAGTTTTGGCATATCCATTGTCGTTTCCATAAGGCATTTACCGGTGGGGCGTGAGTTCTGGGCCACCCTGTATACCATTGATATGTAATAAAATTATAGCAAAACATATAAAATGTTTTCTGTTAAAAAGTTAATTTTAAGTTACAAAATAGTTATGAATAAAACCAATTTTCTATATTCTGTTTATTTCAATGTAACACAAATAATAATATTGACTACAAATACAATAGAATTGATTTTAAACAAAATTTTGAAAGGGAATGTAGTTAACACAGTTATTCATACAAAATTATCCAATTTGCAAATTTTTCACAATTCTCACTTTTTCTAAATATTCTTTCTACATTTCGTGTTTTTTTTGCGAGTTTGTATTTTGATTTAGACAGATACTAGACAAATATCGAGCTATTTTTTTCTCATTTCGACAAGCATAAAGCATAAAACACCTCCCTTAATATAAGCACACCAATCATCCGGCTTTATTCGCTGATAGGTTTTTAAATATCAAAGAATCGACTTCAAAAAGTAATCATGTTTCAGTGAACCGGAAAAAATTCAAATTAACTTTAATATGTATCGCGTTTAAATTCCCCAGTGTCGCCGGATAAAATATAATTTCTTTTAAAGAGGACAATTTTTAACATTCATTTCGATTCGAAACGGTTCATTATCTACTCTGTGATTTTGAAATTCGAATTTTCCAACATGTGATATGTTGGAAAGCTGTTAGGAACGATTAATTTTCGATTTACTTCTCTGTTAAACGTTATATTTTACGTTCTTCTCGTGTTACAACGTTGTTAGGTGTATACGTTAATCTTTAATTTCTTCGTAAACGATATTTTAATTTCAAAGGAAATTACAATAATAACTATATCTTTTTGATGATACAAAAATTAGGATGTCTGTGAAGTTGGCACCGCAACTTTAGTTCTCAGTAGTTCTGATTAGAGTTCTGGATTCCTTTTGGATAGTTTAGGAGTTCTTTTGTACAAAAAATAATAGTTCTGGTGTTTTAACACATTATTTTTTTTAAATAAAACATGCGGTGCTAACTTCAAACCTAAATTTACAATGGAATAGTTCTGATTAGTTTATTTGATGTATTTTGATGAGTTCTAGAGTTCCTGAATATTAAAAAATAATAATAATAATAAATTTCATCAATAAACAAATATATAGTTAATCAATTAGATGTATTATCAGACAACCCATAACTTTTTAATTATTGAAAAATTCGCAAAATACCATTAAAGTTTCTTGTAGAACTCGTCGAGTACTATTCAGAACTGTTATCAGAACTTCTGAGAACTCTCAAAAAATTTTCAATCTCGGACTTGTATTTTTTTTGTATCGATGTGATTTTTGACAATATCTCAAAAACTATTGTTTTAATCAAAATTTCTCAGGAGTTCTGATAACAGTTCTGAATAGTATTCGACGAGTTCTACAAGAAACTTTAATGGTATTTTGCGAATTTTTCAATAATTAAAAAGTTATGGGTTGTCTGATAATATATCTAATTGATTAACTATTTATACTTGTTTATTGATGAAATTTATTATTATTATTATTTTTCAATATTCAGGAACTCTAGAACTCATCAAAATACATCAAATAAACTAATCAGAACTATGCCATTGTAAATTTAGGTTTGAAGTTAGCACCGCATGTTTTATTTAAAAAAAAATAATGTGTTAAAACACCAGGACTATTATTTTTTGTACAAACGAGCTCCTAAACTATCCAAAAGGAATCCAGAACTCTAATCAGAACTACTGAGAACTAAAGTTGCGGTGCCAAGTACCTAAAATTAGGCCCAAAATATTAGTAGCTTGTCTTTGAAATACATAAAATCACACAGAATATACATAAATCAGAAAATCAGAACTTTAGCGCCATCTATGTGGATTGAATCAAAGAAGAATATTCCATGTTTAGATACCTGCAAGCACAGATGAATATAAAACACTGATTCAAACAAAGATGACTCTATTGATTTAATTTTTTTCAGGTTTTTTCCATATTTTAATTGGCATATTGCGAGGAAAGTCCCAATTTATAATGAACGAATCATCGTTACCCTGAAATTTGACGATCTTGACCTTTCAATGTTGTTTTATTATAATTTGGGATTTTACCAAAGCAGTCAGCTGAGGTTTTAAAGGAGGATTAACCTCTCGATGAGCTTTAAAGAACTCATTGATAAAACTATACAGGGTGTTAATTAATTGTATGCCGATACTTTAAGATGTGAATATTTGGGCGATTTTAAGAAGGAAAGTTTATATCAATGTATGTCCTAAGGCTTTTAGTTTTCGAGCTACAGGGTGTCAAAATTTTAGAAAAAAATTACTTTTCTATTATAATTTTCTTATTACGGCAGATATTTTTATAAAATTTCGGACGTGGACATGGCTGATAATAGTAGAAAGAAAATTAATTTTTATCCCCAAAAAAAAGTATTTCCATGCATGGTGGGCGCCTATCAAATTTCAACAAAATATCAAAACAGTCTCAAAATGAACTTGGGAAAAAATGGTTTTGGTTTTTATTTTTTTATGCGAAAATGGTGCGTCGTACGAAAATAAGCCTTTTGATAGAATTTGCTACAAAATAAATGAAAATTTTAAAAATAATTTTAGTTTTTAGAAAAAGCAGTGGTGCACAATTTTTTTCAAACATATTCAGTTCAAACCTCGTACGGACGTCAATGGTGAATATTAAAAAAATCTTATGCCTCAAAAATGCTCCTTAATAATTAAAAAGTGTATACAAAATTTCTTAAAAATAACTGGAGTAATAAGAAAATTATGAAAGAAATTTTTTTTTCTAAAATTTTAGCACTCTGTAGCTCGAAAACTAAGAGGTTTAGGACATACATTGATATAAACTTTTCTTCTCAAAATCATCCAAATATTCACATCCTGAGGTATCGGCATTCAATTAATTAACACCCTGTAGATATTTAATACGAATAAAAGAATACATGGAAATTTATTAAAAGTGAAAAGATCAGAAACAATTACATAAAAACATCCTGACCGGATTGATAAATAAATAAAAGAAAGTTATGAAAATTAAAATTACAAAATCAAAGTGCGTTGAACGCGTTTGATAAATAAAATGTATGCGAGTCAGGTCGCAATTTCGTCCGCACGGAAAATCCATACGATTATACATCAAACGCGATTGAACTAGACTCATGTACTTACGCAAAGTACAAGGCCATTCTTCCTGCCCATCGAATACCATTCAGCGCTCTATTTCACTATTTACGTGCATTGTTACGATAAAAAAAAACACTAAAGAGTCGTGCCTAACGGAAGTACCTTTTGTATTACAAACACCGCAAACAATACACACCGACCATGCCCTGCATCGCAACAGGTAGATCCAGTTCTTCTTCAGCAAGTGTTACAATGCGATTTTTTATTAGTGTACAGGAGACTGTTTAAAATCAAATACAGGTAAGTACTTATTTTGTTATTTTATAGAGCTACCTTATTTTCTACAGTTTCAAAAAACCAATTACCTACTACGAGATCTTCGATATCTCGATTCCTTCATTACAATTTCATGTTTATCCTATTTTTCTATGAAGAATAGGGTAGGGCGGGGCTAGTTGAGCATACGGGTAAGTTGTGCAATCGAAATATCTCGCAAACTATTCACCGTACGCATAAACATCTTATGGCGGAAAGAAGGGGTCGGGGGAGACCTAATCACAGAGCTATTGCAAGTGGCGCCTCGACAAGCGAGTAAAGCCCCCGTGCGTTTTGTTTTTTTTGTGACCAAAAAGTAAAAACGTCGTCTATCGCAAGTTTTCGTCTGTATTAGTCAAATATTATCCGTTTTCAATGAGGTAAGGGTTAATATTCCAGAAAATTATTGTACTTTTGATATGTAGAGATGTTCTGGTTATAATTCTTACGATTTCTTTATGACCTCACTTTTATTTTAAAATTTCGGGTTGGGGTTAGTTGAGCAACTACTGCGAAATTTACCAGGAGAAAGTTGGATTCACTGCCAAGCTTGCAGGGAATGGGCACAAACAAAATGTCTTCCAGGTGCTATGGTCTTACTTTCATTTGTGTTAATTGCAACAGTAACAACGACCAAAACTTGCTAATATATTATTATTTTCTTTTAAGCTATTTAATTCTGATTTTAAACAGAAAGCCCGAAAATTACTTTAAGTTTTGTTGTTCTGTCACTAAATAACAATAAATAAAGAGATGGTTATAAAAATAAACATATCCTATATATAAACATACCGTTGCTCAACTTACCTCACCTATGGGGTACATTGAGCATACTTGACTTTCTGCATTTAAACAGCTGTAGCTCTTAAATTCAACTAGTTACAAAAAAGTTACTATGGGCACTTTTGTTAAGGGAGAAATTACTAATCCATCAAGCCACATAACAAGTCATTCACACATATCATTGATGAGCTATATCCGCTAAAGTGAAAAGTTGCTCAACTAGCCCCGCCCTACCCTACCATTTTATTTTGCTCTTCCAAATGCTTATTGAGTCAGCTAGCTAGCTAGCTAGCAGTGATGTTAAAATTACTTTATAATATGTAATTAATTACAATTACAATTACTTTTGGCAATTTGTAATTAATTGCAATTACAATTACAAAATTTGCGAACGTAATTACAATTACACTCACAATTACTTTGCTTTGGTGTCAGTTTTAAATAATTATTTAGGGATTTGCAATCGGAATTAATCTTTCGACGTATTGAAAATATTAAATAAGTACTTTTGTGTCCAATGTAGTTGAAATGTAATTGTAAAATGTAATTGTAATTGTAACGAAGGAGTAATTGAATTACAAATGAATTACAATTGAGGAGCTTGTAATTAATTACCGCCTCAATTACAATAAAAGTAATTCAATTACTTTTTCAATTACTTGTAATTAATTACTTAACAACACTGCTAGCTAGCTAGCTATTGAGTCAGCTTTATGTGCAAATTAAACTTCTACTATTTCTTCTACCAACATTTCCCGAAACTTATATCCTGAATATCGATCCTTTTAGTCCCAATCTTCAACTTACTATTATTCCCTACCTTATAGCCCTTCTTCCAGGACCAAATTCTCACTCCACCAGATTTCATCCAAACGCTCTCTCCCTCTATAACTAGCAATGTTAAAATTAATACCATCACCATAAATCATTTCGACTATCATTACGACGAGCTTATCTCGTTTACCGCCGACCTGAACGATAACATTGAACAATTTTTCCGATCAGGCATGCATCAAGAAATGTTTTGTCTTGCTCGCGGAATCGAGGCGATCCGATTAATGGAGGGCGATAACCAGCGAGAAACGTCTTTCGAAAGGAGCGATGTTCTTCGCAGACGCGTGAGGAGCAATCAGAGGCCGAAGCTGAAGAGAGTGCGAAGCGCTAGAAAAGGTTTCGAGAAATTCCAGATCTTCGAGGACGATGTGAACAGTATCAAGAACAAATATTTGAAAGAGTAAGTGGTTTCTTGGGATTTATCTGGTGGTTTCTATGTAATGTGGGTATTTTATACAATAATCTGTGGGTGTTTGTTTTGTGGTAATAGTAGATTCAGTTTGCGATATAGTAAATAAAATCTGCTTAAAGATTATATTTACCAATGTACGGCTTTTTGAGTAAATAATTAGTAATCTGCCGATAATAATAAGGTAAGAACAGCTGTGTCTTTGAATTTTTAATGTAATTGGAATTTCGATTTTTCGTATGCGTAAAACATACGTCTATTTGCTTTACTGGTGAGTGGTAATATACGAAAATTTCGAAACGAACCAACCACTGTAGTTCCTGTATTCGCTACCATTAATTCAGTTCAAGTGAATTTTTTAATAATAGTTATAGCGAAGATGTTTCTTTACGTCGAAGTTGATTGTTCGAATTTGAACAGGTACTGGAAATATGTGAATAGGATGAAAATGATGAAAATCAAAACCAAAACCGCCAAGAAAAACGTGGATTACTTGCAGATGAAGACGAGAAACGATGTTAAAAGTGAGAACGCTGATGACAAAACAGTGCCGTGGATGTTGAGATGGAAATACAGAAGGATTCATCCTGTTTGTGATATCAGGTGAGTTTTTTGAAAAATTTTACACCATTACGAACATTGTTTATTCAAAAAGAGGAGAGTTGTACAAGTGCATTGTACTAAATATTCGAATCAAAGAAATAATATTACCATCTTTGTGTTATTCCAGACAGTACAGTTAACTTTACAAAAATATATAAAAAGGAGGAATGAGTCACTCATTTAGCGTGTAATATGCATCATGTCACATTTGACTGATTTACAGGTCATTCCTCCGGATACCTCGAGTAAAGCAGTAGATACCTAAATTAACGCCGTTGGTTGGCTTTTTAAATCCGGCTAAAACGCCAGTAAATTGAGTTTACCCGGTTTTGTTTATTTATTTTTACTTGTAGGTCATTGTGTGAATTTTCGTTTATTTATTTACTTAATTGATAGCGCTTATATGACGCATCTTCGTTTTTTTTATCAAAGTTAATGATAATATTGTAACGGTAATGTTTCGACATAGAATATAAAAGTTGGTATCACTCGGGGACTGACCAACATTTTAGTCAGGAAAGCTTATCAATTTGATTGGAGGTAGTTTATTTATGTATCAAGTAGCGGCTTTTATATTTAAGACCATTGTTATTTTTAATTTTGGTTATAAGTTATAAAACCAAGCCAAATTTTTAATACTAGTAGAAACTATAATAAACATGAATAATATAACAAGAATTTTTAAAATACTACGGTTAATGATCCATGCTACACTATACGTTACATAGTTATCACTTTTATTTATAAATAAATAATAAGTTAAAAACTACACATCCGGAGACGCTTTGGTTTGGTACTTTTTTTTTATAAACGGTGTATAAATGAAACTTCTGATTAAATATTTATCTAATATATTCTGTTAAGTCGGAGAGCACTGAGTGATTGATTTTGTTTGTGATGTGGTTGATAGGGGAAATTGTTAAGAAAATTGGTCGAATCAAAAGGTAGGTGGAATTTTTTGATGCAGGTATACTGTTTTTTATAATTGGAATTTATAATTTAAAATGGGGAATTAAAATATGGAAAAAACCAAAGAGAACCATTTAAAAAGAAGAAAGGTTCTTTTGTGAATTTTACTGTAAGTTTGAAAACATTTCCAAGGATTCTACTACCTGCAGTTGGAACTTCCAAATGAGACATATTTTTTAATTGGACTAGAATATTTGGGTTTCTCTATGGAGTCTCTCATGCTTCTTTTTTAATAGACGGAATAACTTATGGGCAAATATTTTCTTTTTTAATTAGATAGGTATTGTCTGTCATAATGCTACCATATTTTGCATTTCATACACATTTATAGTGCACATTATAGGTATACAATTTATGATATAAGGGAATTTGGGTTTAAAATGTTTATTTTAATTAATAAGACATAAATATCTCAGCCTAATTTAGATAAGCATGACGACCTTAATTCATATTTTTCATGCAAAGTTACAACAATTAGTCAAACTAAACAAATTTAATCTTGACTAAGAAATTGATGTAATAAAATAACAAAATACTTTTGAATCATTGATATATTTAGGTGGGATCCTATATTTGGGTGGATCAATTGCCTTAAAATGTGTTGCATATTATTTTGCAATTTAATGCATAATTGATTTTTTAATAATTTAGATTATTATTATAAAAGTGCTCGTGTGTGGTATGTATTTTAAAACAACAACAAAAACTGGTTTAATTTTGAATAAAATTTACAATAATTATAACCATTTTTAAACTGAATTACTCTATTCTATTCTTCACCAAAAATCAGTATCCTCTTCCTACTTAAGCAAAGTATTTTCTTAAGAATTAAATCTCAACATTTGCCAGTTGGTTCAAGGTCTAAAAATTTTTAGTAAGTTTTATTCTTTTATTTTGTTTGTTATTCAAAAATTAATAAAACTATTAGAATTTAAAATATCAAGGGCACAGTATAAAAACTAAAGCAATAAATACCTGTTTATTGTTAACATTACTTGTAATTGATTATCTAATGTACTTGAACTTTTAAGGATGTGATGTCTGTGAGATTTTGTTAGTGGGAAAATTTAAAGGAATCAACGCGTTTCTTTTGAAAGAAAAAGCAAAAGTAGAATACATTTAAAGGAGTTCTTGCAAAATTTTTCATAATTCCATACAAAGGAAGAGCTTTTTATCAACAAAAACATCCTGTGTGATACCAATAATAAGCAGTTTCTTGTTGATTATTTTGGTATCACAAAAATTATAACATTTATAGCTCAAGTCTAACCACACTACAAAACTACTTAGATTAAGAGAATTTCCATAAGAGTAGAATAATTTTCAAAGTAGGTACTATTCATTATTTTATAGCAAAAAACCCACTGTTATCTAAAATTAACCAACTTTCACAAAAAATATACAACACGCAAATCAACTTCTAATGCGCGGGGTTCTTGGAATTCTTACCTTGATGTATTTTTTCGTTACTCCAATTAAAATAAACAATGTTGGATTAGCGTATTTTCGCTACGCGTAAAATCCCTATACCGCGATAAAACAAGCAGAATGATAAAAACCCACACCATTTAAATCTTACAAGAGCAACCGGCCGGTCGAAACAGACTCCGGCATCGCGCTAATACATTTTTTTACTGTCGATTATTATCGAGATATTTGTTTCGGAAACTGTAATTAGATCGGGATCAGTTCGCAATAAAACATCGTGTTAAACGCGTCGGGAAATTTCGAGTTACAAAAGTTATTGATGGTTAAAATTTTTCGCCGAAAGAAGGGCACTATGCAAAGAGAAGAGAGCATATATCGCAAGTTGCACAAGCAAAATTCGTCTGATTTTCAAAATAAAAGGTTAGTAGAACTTATCGCGTCCCATAGATAGAAAATTATATTTAGAATGCTAAATATAAATAAATAAACATTGATGTTGGAATAGGTGTTTGACTGAATTGACTCCACTACTAGAGATTGATATACTTGAATTAAAAAACCCCATGTATGAAAATTAGAATTGCTAAAAAATGTGTAGTAAACTGTACAAAATTAGCATGTGAGTAGGTTACAGAAAATAATAATTGTTGAAGAATTATATTTTAATTATTACATTTTCATTTACACTTGGGTAAATATTTCAAAATAAAAACCTTGAAATTATATATTAAATTGGTAAATGTTTACACAATATTGTTAAAGCATTTGCTGTAAATTAGAATGCAAATCTGTAACAATTCAGCTATTCATAAGATTTAAAAAAACATGAGTTCTAAAAATTTTGTAGGATAACCTCCTAATTTGGTAATACAAACCTTAATATTCATAAAAACAGCAAAAAACGATTGTTAAATAATATTCATTAAAAAAATGTTTCATTATTCCTATTGCGTATAATACATAGAAAATTTCACATGCTTCAACAATAAGTATTATTATTTATACATAGGCAGAAAGAAGGTATATATTTGCATAATATACTTTTTCATAAACTGAAATTCTTTAGTCATTTTTGCATTATCGATTGATAATAAATTACAAACTTACATTTCTGTTTCGAAATAGCAGCAATTTACGTATTATAGTACATTCTATCAAATAACATTAATAATTGTTAATTATTAGCCAATTTTACGTTCATCAAGCACATGATTCTCGTGCACTAAAATATCCTGCAATAATAGTCGGATTTATAAATACTATCTACAATAAAAATGAGCTTCTGTAGGTGTTTTTGATTCAATAAATGTTTTAAATTTAGTTATTTTTAGGGGCATATTAGACAGTTTTTACTCTGAAATACAATTCTGATATAAGTTATAAGTTACAATCTATTTATAGCACATTCCTGTATATTTATTATGCATAATTATTATTTACAAAATAATATGTTTATTGCGCTTGATTATGATATGAAAAAAATTCAATCATTTTTAATTCAAGAACGGGAAATTCCAATTAAACGCATGCGAATCCAATGCGATAGGTACTTATAGTATAGTACATAGGATAATTAATTAATCTCGGCAATTAGTTATACAAGACGCCAAAAGGAAGTTTTGTAATCGACGTTCGTGAAGGTTATTAGATTATCGTCCACTACCTACATCAACTGATTTCGTCAGGGAATTCCGCACTTCATATTCAAATTGATTCTACGTGTAGCTATTATAAAAACCCCACGTGTGTATGATGAGTACCTTTTTATTGCAGCGATTTAAAGCCGTTATTAAACCCCGTTGTACTCTTATATTGATCTTTTATTGTTTACATAGTTTTGGTTTATAAATATTTAATTAATTAAAACACGCAACGCAAAAAATGATACACATTGTAATGATGAAACCATTTTATAATAATGCATTTAATTATAAACCAATAATTGTGATTCATTTGTAGGTATTTTGGTGCAAGTTAAATTTGCATTGCATTTTTCATAACTCATCGTGTTAAATATAAAATGATACTCAGTCGCACTTCCTAGAAAAAATAACAACACATTCGTACATACAACATACATAATTATTGCTCTAACACCGCACTTGAAATACTGATATATTCGAATTATTTTACCTATTGGTATAATTTTCTTATGTATTAGGTAAGCTAGACTGGGGCAAATCGATTGTAAAATTTGAATAGTTTAAATTAAATCCTAAAATGTGGCTTTATTTTTTCTCTTATTAGAAATGCTGATACCACATTAAATTCACAACTTCCTAAAATAAGAATCGAAGAAGTTTTTTTAAAAAAGGAAGAAAACGATTTTACATATTTTTTAAAATGTTGACAATATGACGGTTTTAAAGAGACAAAAGAATTATATAGAAAAACATATAGGGCAATTGTAAAAAAATATTTAATTCCTCTAAAATTTGATATGCTGTTTATTTATTTATTTCAAAAAATAACAGGGCTACAAAATAATAAAGAAAAAATAAGAAACAAACCCTGTCTAATGCACAAAACAACTATAAAAATTATAAAAAACATTAATATAATAGGTAAATATCATCCAAATATTACATTTTCCCCATTTTTACATTTGCCCCAGTCTACCTTACATACATCTCTAGTTTGAGCAATACACACTTTTCTTTAATTTATTTACCCTAATGTGAAATAATAAATTTCCTAAAGATATTGAACAAAATTGGAAAAAACTTAATTGGTTCGATTTATAAATAGGTACAATTCAGGTGAGAAAATAATTGCTGAATGCGGAACATTCGCTAAACTGTCTGTAAATAGATGTTAATTTGGGACACCTAGTACAACAGTATACGTTCAGTTCCATTTTAGTTCCATGACAAGGTTATTAGAGGATTCAAATTGAAATTTGCTATTCTTTGAAAACAGCACTGGCATTGTAACTTGCCGGTTTTGTGACTCACTTTTATAGTGTCTGTAAATGTTTAGTTTTCGTTCAGTTTTAATCAAATATCGTCTAATTCCGCTAACTTGTTTTTCGCGCTTTTAAAAAAATTACCTTCACGTATTACTTACTCAAATATAGCAATTTGTTCTCGATTTGTTAATAATTTAGTGCTATTGTGTTACGCTGGTTGATCGCAGGATTGAATATAATACCTCCATTATGGATATCCAAGCTGAGGAAATTTTGTGGAAACAAATATTTAATAAATTACAGGAACAAAAATCAGTCGATCGAATACACACCGATCATGAACACAGGTAATTTGAATATACCAATCAATTAATTATAATTTATTAGGTTTAAATATCTAGTAGGTACAAATACTAATTACAAACAGTGAAGTGCATACGAATGAACAGAATAAAAATATTAGATTAAATCACTTCATGAATTTTTTAATGTATCCTGGTTATTTATAATTAATATTTAAGCATAACATTGCATAGTAATTTTATCAAAATACTACTTAACAACCATCTCCCAATCAAAAAATATCCCAAAAAGTCTTTCCAATAATCGCGAGATATAGGTTATTTTTTTGTCAAAATTGAAAGTATAAATATGAGATGCATTTAAAATATGTTCAGCAGTGCGTTTCTGCAACGGTTATTGAGTACAATTTACATTATTACGAGAAAACTGAATTTAATTAGAGACAAAAATTACATAAACGGAGAATGGGTATCTGCTGGGAGCAGCCAGCAATTCGATGTTTACAATCCAGCAGACGGTAGTGTGATAGGTAAAGTGCCCGATGTAGATGCTAAGGACGCCAAAAAAGCTGTAGCTGCTGCTGCTCGAGCTTTCGAAACGTGGAAAGAAATCGTTCCCAAAAAAAGAACTAAGCTACTAAAAAAATGGTTCAGCCTATTGAACAAATACAAGAAGGAAATGGCTAATATCTTAACCCGAGAATCGGGAAAACCCTTGCCGGAATCGATCGGCGAGGTAATTTACGGCAACAGCTACTTAGAGTGGTTTTCCGAACAAATACTTCATATACGAGGCGAAATAATCCCCAGCGATTCCACCAGAAAGTTGCTAATAGAACATCATCCCATAGGCGTGGTGGTAATAATAACCCCTTGGAATTTTCCCTATTCGATGATAGCGAGGAAAATGAGCGCAGCCCTAGCCGTGGGATGCACTTGCGTCATCAAACCCTCCGAGGAAACCCCGCTGGTAGCCCTAGCGATGGCGAAAATCGCCCAAAAATCCGGCATCCCCAAAGGAGTCATCAACATCATTACTTGCAGCAAACGAAACGCCCCGAGCGTCGGTAATCTGTTATGCACGAGCCCTCTAGTATCCGGGGTATCTTTCACCGGGTCCACGCAAGTAGGAAAAATTATATACAAGCAATGCTCGAAGGGCGTGAAACGCCTAGCATTAGAACTAGGCGGTAATGCCCCGTTTATAGTCTTCAACTCCGCTGATGTTAACAGCGCCATCGATGGAGCCATGGAGGCCAAATTCAGGAACTGCGGCCAAACTTGCGTGGCAGCCAACAGATTCCTGATCCAAGACGGAGTGTTCGAAGAATTCGTGTGCAAAATGGTCAAAGAAGTCGAGCGATTGAAGATAGGAAATGGGTTAAACGAAGGAGTCAACATCGGGCCGTTGATCAACGAGGCGCATCTGAAGAAAGTTACCGAATTGATGGAAGACGCCCGATGTAAGGGCGCTAAATTACTAACAGGTGGCAAGCAGCTCGAGAAGCTGGGGAAGCTGTTTTTTCAACCAGCTGTCGTCACCGGTGTGAAGAACAACATGCGGTTGTATACTGAAGAAATATTCGGTCCGATCGTTGGTGTTATTAAATTCGAAACGGAAGAGGATTGTGTGAGAATATCGAACGGTACTAACTACGGTTTGGCGTCGTATTTGTTTTCGAAAGATGTGCAACAAATATTTAGGGTTGCTAGAAAGCTGGAAGCTGGAATGGTGGGTGTTAATGAATGCAGAGCGTTCCCTGTGGAAACGCCTTTCGGCGGTATCAAGGAATCCGGATTTGGTCGAGAGGGCTCTCACCACGGGGTTTTGGAATACACCTATATAAAATATACTTGCCTGGGGGATTTGTAAATGTTGATTAAGATTAATTAATAGCTATTATTCAGATTAAATCTGAGAATCTGTTGTTGCAATGTGTGGTTATTAAAGTGTAGACTAATAAATGCGCCTGATATGCAAATGTCCAAGTCCAAGATATTTATTGCTATTTTCCGAATAGGTTAAACGTTCAATATTGGAATTTAGAGAGAATTATCATTTTTCCTAGTAAACTAATAAAAGGTAGAATAAATACTTGAGGATGCTTCGGAATTGCGGCAAAAATTCTATTATATTACCATAACTATACACTAAATTGTTGTTAAATTTCTACCAATTAACTAACATGTTGAAAAATTGATATAATTTCGTCTTCTTTTTTTCGTTAGAATTTTAATGTTTTTTGACATTGGCCTTGTCACTAGATTAAACTTTAATAAATTACAAATATATTTACTGGAATTAAATGGATTATTTAATTTTAGATTCGTTTATTACATAAAATGTTTATGATTGGAATAAAGATATAATTTCAGATTGAATTCAACCTTGAGAGGAGGGAAATCATTCGTTGCTTCTTATGCAACACAGATTTCTTCAAATCGAAATGTTGGTTGCATACTTACAAAATTTTATTTACTATTTTCTAGGTTAAATAAAATGTAAAATGTCAAAAGTCAAATCGATTTTTAACCCGATTTTCAAATTGTGAAATTTGTGAAAAATAATAATAACACAAGGTATTCAATTTAAACTACTTATTAATTAACATTTAAAGAACTATCCCAAACGCATTTTATTATTTAATTGAGACGAATTTGCGCAGTATCACTACACAACTCCCTAAACTGATTTGACATTCACTGTCGAATTGAATGTCGAGTTAGCGTTTACTTTGGTTTTAAACTCGAATCGTTTATACTTAATTTAATAACCGAATGGCAATACTACCTACAATACGTTACAAATAACTTGATCCATAATGTTTTCTAAAAGAATTTCGAACAAACTAAACTACATGTACAAAAGTATGAGTTTACTCGCTAACAAAACCTACGTGTCCGGTGAGTGGGTAACAGCAGCCAGCAACAAAACCTTCAACGTGTTAAACCCCGCCAACGGCGAAATCGTCGGTACAGTGCCCGATATGGACGTCAACGACGCCCAGAAAGCCATCGAAGCCGCCTCGAAAGCCTTCGAAACTTGGAAAAACACCACAGCCAAAGAGCGATCCGACCTCCTGAGGAACTGGTACAACCTATTAGTAAAAAACAAAGAAGAAATCGCGAGAATAATGACCGCCGAATCCGGCAAACCTCTAGCAGAATCCCTCGGAGAGGTCGCCTACGGAAACGGCTTCGTCGAATGGTTCTCCGAACAAGCCAGAAACGTTCGGGGCGAAATCATCCCGAGCCCCAACCCGTCGAAGAGGATACTAATCGAGCACTATCCGATTGGCGTATGCGCTTTGATAACACCGTGGAACTTCCCTCACGCTATGATCACCAGAAAAGCCAGCCCGGCTTTATCCGTGGGCTGCACGTGCGTTATAAAACCAGCCGAAGACACTCCTCTAACGGCCTTGGCTTTGGCCAAGCTCGCGCAGGAAGCGGGGATACCCAAGGGGGTGATTAACATCGTTACGAGCAGCAGAGAAAACGCTCCGGCTATCGGTAAACTTTTATGCCAAAGCCCTTCGGTTGCAGGTATATCTTTTACAGGCTCCACACAAGTGGGGAAAATCCTCTACAATCAGTGCTCTTCGGGCGTGAAACGTTTGGGTTTGGAATTGGGCGGTAACGCGCCTTTTATAGTGTACAATTCAGCCAATGTAGATAAAGCCGTAGAAGGCGCGATGGCCTCGAAGTTTCGGAACTGCGGTCAAACGTGCGTGAGCGCGAATCGGTTTTTAATCCAAGACGAAATATTCGATCGATTCGTTGAAAAACTGGTCGATAAAGTTGGGAGTCTGAGGATCGGAAACGGCGCCGAGGAGTGCGTTAAAATCGGCCCTTTGATCAACCGAGCTCAATTCGATAAGATAAAAGATTTGGTCGATGATGCTGTGAAGAATGGCGGTAAAATTCTAACGGGGGGACAGCCAGTAACGCAGTTAGGCGAATTATTCTTCGAACCTACAGTGATTGTCGATGTAAATGAAAAGATGAGGATTTATTCGGAAGAAATATTCGGGCCGATTATTAACATCATTAGATTCAATACTGAAGAGGAAAGCTTGAAGATAGCCAACAGCACCGAACGGGGATTGGCGGGTTACTTTTATTCCGAAGACTACAAGCAAATATTCAGAGTGTCCAGAAATTTGGAAGCCGGAATGATCGGGGTTAATGAGGGGATTATATCGACGGTTGAAGCTCCTTTCGGGGGTATCAAAGAGTCCGGTTTAGGTAGAGAAGGATCCCATCATGGCACCGAGGAGTACACATATATGAAATATGTATGTTTGGGTAATTTGGAGTAGAAAATTATGTATTGTATCTATTGTAATTTTTTTTTTATGTTTGAACGAATGTAGGATTTGATTAGCTATTCAATTTTACTTTATAGAGGACTATAAAAGTTATCTCTTTTATATTTTTATGCTATAACTATTGAAGCGAGATTTTTTTTGTAATTATCAATAATTTTGATATAAAATTTATGAGTATTATGTAAGGTTGAGAATTTTATTTTGCTGGTTTTTAAGCAACGCAAATATTAGCATTAGATTAGAAATTTAAGTTAAATTTAGATACATAGTAATAAAAACGTAACTGTCTTCCAAAGAGTCTTCCAAATTGTTATACTAAAGCAATATAAAATATACCAGTTTTTCTGAACGTACAGCAATGTTAATTGTTGTTTACTGTGATTAAGATTGTTAATAATTATATGCTTCTTGCAGTTTATAAATAAATTAAAAAAACTCCTAATATTCTTGTTTTAATTTGTATTCAGCTCGCCAGTCTACCAGAAGGTGCTTCGGTAAGCACAAAAGGACCTCCAATTAGAGCTAGTTACTTAATAAAATTGGCTAAAGAAAGAGCAAAAATATGAAAAAATACCTTTAAACAAATATCTATGGTCAGTATTTAGTAGATATTTTTGTTACTAGAGTACCTACGCAACAAAAAAACCTTTTCATCTAGAAAACGACTCTTCTGGTACACTAAATACTAAAAAACCGGTCTAAACCCATCGAGTTTACTACACAAACTACCTAAATGCAATATTCTAGAAGAACAAACCCTCTATTTTTAGAATCCAGCAGGTGAAAAAATACTTTTAAACAAATATCTGTGGTCAGTATTTAGTAGATATTTTTGTTACTAGAGAGCACCTGTGCAATAAAGAAACCTTTTCATCTAGAAAACGACTCTTCTGGTACACTAAATACTAAAATAAAACCGGTCTAAACCCATCGAGTTTACTACAGAAACCACCTAAATGCAATATTCTAGACGAACAAACCCTCTATTTTCAGAATCCAGCAGGTGAAAAAATACCTTTAAACAAATATCTATGGTCAGTATTTAGTAGATATTTTTGTTACTAGAGAGTACCTACGCAACAAAAAAAACCTTTTCATCTAGAAAACGACTCTTCTGGTACACTAAATACTGGTCCAAACCCATCGAGTTTACTACAGCAACAACCTAAATACAATATTCTAGACGAACAAACCCTCTATTTTCAGAATCCAGCAGGTCGACGGCGGGTTCTTCGAGCGCTTCGGGTCCCTATTCAAAGAGCAAGCGGAATTGGTGGAGGCGCAGGAGCAAATCGAGAAGAAGAAAGTCGCCGAAGCCGCCGCCGAGGTCGCCCCGGAGAAAATCGACGATGAAAACTTCGACGAGCCCGCCCCCACCGTCGAGAGCGACGAAGTCTCCGTCAGCTCCACCGATACCGAAGCCGAAGTGGAGAAGGATCCCACGCAACTCATACACACCGCATGGAACGTAAGTCGAATCATTTTTTATTTATGAATAAAGGGTGTTTCAATAAGAGCGCAAGATTTTAAGGTTCAATAAAACAATGTTACCTGTAGCAAAATATGGTAATATTTACTAATTTATCATGTGCACATTTAGGAATTATACAGTGCATTTCTTTAATGTCCCCCCCCCTTTTATTTTTTGAACGGATCAACTTAGAAAATTGAAATTTGGGATAATGAAACTAATGCATGATTACTATATTTTGGAGTAAAATTGACAGATGAAAATTTCAAGATGGCGACTGGGCGCCATCTTGGGAAATAAATTTAAATGGAAAGGGGGGTCTTGTGATACATCATTTTGAAGCTCCTGACAAATACTCTACAACCCTGAAATATAAAGTCAATATCTGCACCTGCTATAAAATGGCGGAACATTTAATAATTACCTGAATACAAACAAAATAATATCAATTTTTCTAGAAATATTTGTTTTTCTATGGCAAACAGCAATCCCAGCAAACCGATAAGGTTTGACAGGTTATTTTTGGTTAAAAAAATTCCAAAAAATTTAAGTACGACAACGAACATTAATTGTTTAATCAAAATATGCTCATTTAGTTTTTGGTTTTCCTAGTGTTCAAAATATTCTCTTTAGTTTTCGATTTTCCTAGTGTTCAAAGTATTTTCATTTAGTTTTCGGTTGTTTAGTTCTCATTGCAGTTAGGTAGCACGTGAACTAACTCTAAAATGGCCAATTCTCGTCCATTGGAAGATGGAGCACCACCACATTACTCCAGACAAGTAATGAACTATTTGGATGCTATTTTCCCTGGTCGTTGGATCGTTGGATTGGTCGTCGAGGTCCTACGGAATGGATTTGACCAGAATTTGACCAGATTTGACACCTTTAGACCTTTTTTTATGGGGCTATTTGAAGCAAAATGTGTACGAAACTAAACCTGCTTCAATATTGGATATACGAGAAATAATTACAGATATTTGTAAAAATATCGACGTTACTATGTTCGAAAATGTTCGGATAGGCTGTTCTTGTATTAAGAAGTTCAAGGCAACCATTTCGAGCTTTTTTTGAACAGAACTCAGCCTATTTCCTCAAATTATGACGTTAAACGTCGATTTATTCAGGTAATTATTAAATGTCCGCCATTTTGTAGCAGGTGCAGATATTGACTTTATATTCCAGGGTTGTAGAGTATTTGTCAGGAGCTTCAAAATGATGTATCACAAGACCCCCCTTTCCATTTAAATTTATTTTCCAAGATGGCGCCCAGTCGCCATCTTGAAATTTTCGTCTGTCAATTTTACTCCAAAATATAGTAATCATGCATTAGTTTCATTATCCCAAATTTCAATTTTCTAAGTTGATCCGTTCAAAAAATAAAAGGGGGGGGGACATTAAAGAAATGCACTGTATATTAAACAAAATATCTTGTAAATGGCCGCTACGGCTTTGCTGGCAGAAGGGTACTCTTTTGATAAAATTTTCAATAGCATTATTGTATACATGTGGCGTTATTTTATTGATAGAGCGTCTAATTTCGGCTTTCAACGTTTCGGTGGTCGCGGGCATGTTGACATAAACCTGTGACTACAAGTAACCCCAAAGCCAGAAGTCCAAAGGTGCTAAATCACAAAAACGTGGCGGCCAATTCTGGTCACAAAACCGGGAAATGACCCGACCGGGAGTAATGTTAAACAATTAGGACGCGATTATGTTTCATATCCATATTTATCATATTTATCATATTTATCATATCCATATTTAACCAACTGTCAACTTTCGATCTGTCATGTTATAATCATGTGTCATTATGACTGTCAAACATGACAGGCAATTCAAATCTTGCGGTCTTATTGGAACACCCTTTAAAATAGAAGATTCCTTGGGCAAGAAAATTTCACCATTCACTGATTCTTTTAAAAGCTATACCGTTGGAAAAAAGTAGGTAAGGTAGACTGAGGCAAATGTAAAAATGGGGTAAATGTAATATTTTTACCCATTATGTTAATGTTTTTTATTATTTTTATAGTTCTTTTGTGTATTAGACAGGGTTTGTTTCTTATTTTTTCTTTATTATTTTGTAGCTCTGTTATTTTTTTGAAATAAATAAATTAACACCCGCGTGGACCTAGCCCCCCCACCATCAAAAAAAAAATAAAAAATCATACATCATAATTTAGTGCTAATTTAGTGCCACTTCCTAATTTTAGTGCTCGTCTGGTTGAGCAGAAAATTGCGATTGAAAATGGCGGTGATAAGTTTATAAAAATAGCACCCCCACATTTAAATATTTAAACAAAATTAAAAAATAATATAACGGAATTTAGTGCTATTTTAGTGCTTTCGAATGCACTACTCAGAATTTCATTTAAGGTAATTAATCTTAAAGATATTTGATAAAAACGTATTGAAGTCAATAGAAAAACAGATAAACACAGAAAAAATACATTTAAACTTAGTAATAGGGAAACGATTTTGATCTCTAATTTTTCAATGATTTTAGTTCTTTTAAAGTAGTTAATGTCAGATTTTAGTGCTCAACCCTTAAACCCAAAAAATCACATTTTTACTCTTGGAGGTCAGACTACAAAATGGTATAAGATTTTTTTTAAATATTCACCAGTGACGTCCGTACGGGGTTTAAACTCAATATGTTTGAAAAAAAAAATGGTAACCCACTACTTTTTCTAAAAACCAAAATTATTTTTAAAATCCTCAATTATTTTGTAGCCAATTCGGCCAGAACAGTTATTTTCGTACGACGCACCATTTTCGCGTAAAATAAAAACCAAAACCATTCTTTCCCAAGTTCATTTTGGGGATAAAGATTAATTTTCTATTATCAGTGACTTAATAAGAAAATTATGATAGAAAAGTTATTTTTTTTCCTATAATTTTAACACACTGTAGCTCGAAAACTATGAGGTTTAAGACATACATTGATATAAACTTTTCTTCTTAAAATCATCCAAATATTCACATCCTGCAAAGTATCGGCATACAATTAATTAACACCCTGTATAATTATATTGTCCCTTTAGAACCGTTTGTTACATTTACCGCATGGTACGGGGTAAATGTAACATATTGTCAACATTTTAAAAAAATATGTAAAATAATTTTCTTCCTTTTTCAAAAAAACTTTTTAACACCTCGATTGTGTAGTTTAGGAAGTTGTGAATTTAATGTGGTATCAGCATTTCTAATAAGAGAAAAAATAAAGCCACATTTTAGAATTTTATTTGAACTATTCAAATTTTACAACCGATTTGCCCCAGTCTACCTTACCTAATTTTCGAAATTTGTGTTGCTTCTTTTAATTAGCGATAGATAGTAAATAGACGCCTCATCATACCGAAAATTACGGGATAATTTTAAAATAGCTGGTTATAGTGTGGTAAGCATATTTCGAAATTTCGGGAAAAAAATTATCCCAGTTCACCTTCATACACTGTCACGCTTTATTCGACCTACTCGAATTAGATTGATCTATTTTGAAGCGTGTGCATACTAACCCACTTTTATTAGGATAATCGAAAAAAAATACATAAAATGCAGATTCGCCTTCGTTGGAGAGTTTACCGATTTCGAAACGGCGGGGTACTTGAGAAATTGCGGTCGGTTTATTTCGTATTAAACTTTAATACAGCGATGTACGAGAAAGATAATTTCTAATTATCGTTTGGTTTGCGCTAGATTGGAATCGATTAATTTTAGGCGTCGTAAATTTTAGCGTAAACGTTTACAACTTCAGTTTTTGAATGGATCTAATCGATACATAGCTGATTACATCGCTAATTAAATAGATTTTAAAAATAGAATTTCGATTTCAAGGAAGAACCGAAGAACATTGTACATGGTGGTCCTATAAGAATGGCTCTCGGTCATATCTTCGGCCAAAAGAAAATGCTGAAAATAATTTTTAAGTTTGTAAAATGGCCGATAGGGGGAGTATCCGCCGTCTTGATTTTTAAAAGTAATTTTTTTTTTGAAAATTTCCTAAGTAAAGGTAGCAAAAATGTATTTTATTTTGATAGATGAGATAATTTCCTTTTTTTTTTTCGATATATTTTAGGTTAGGAAAGAGATATCGAGATGCGGTTTTCACAGGCTTGTTTGGCAATTATTTGACTATTTTTCTCCAAAGAAAAAGTTATATCGTTGAATATAAATTTATTAAGAAAATCGGTGTTTTCTGAGGTTATGTCGGAAAACGCCCTCTTGCGGCCAAACAAGCATTTATAATAATATCTTATATAGTGTATATTATAGATCAAGGAAAGTTCTTTTCAACGATTTCATTTTTATGAAAATCCGTTCAGCCGTTTAAAAGTTATTAACATTTATTTGTCGCAATATTCAAACAACCCCCACCACTTTTATTTTACAAGATAGAGTCAAAAATATAAAACAAAAAAGAATCCCAATTATCCCAAATATCAAAATAAAATAAATTTCTGATACCTTTATTAAGGAAAATTTAAAAAAAAAAACGACTTTTCAAAATCAAGATGGCGGTTACTCCCCCTAGCGACCATTTTAGAGACTTAAAAAGTATTTCCAAAATTTTATTTTTGCCAATTTATTCATAAGATTTTTTACCGCAAGTCTCCATGACAATTAGTTTGCAAGATATGGCCGAGAGCCATTCTTAGAGGACCACCCTGTACATGTAAAAAAAGCATCTGTAAAATTTGGTTATTCTAAATATTTGAATTTGTACTAATCTTCAGTACTAGATACGATAAAAAAAATAAATTTTTAACGATTCTTAAAATTCAATTTCGATTCCACTTAGCGAATAATAACTTGAAAATATTTTGATAAAATAAATACTCCTGTAAGTACCATAAGTAAAGAAAAACACCATATGGTTTTCAAAAGCTCAATAAGACACCAATTCAATAAATACAGGGTGTCCAGAAAATGTCATTAATTCGGTATAGATGACATCAAAATAAGGGGACAACTGCATATAAATTTTATTAATTTGAGCC